CACTTGGAGTTCCCCAAGGCTTCCATGTCCTGAGCAACCCCTCCTACCCAGAAACACCTGTCTCTGAACCTGTGTATCCAGCCTTGGCTCTCTCTGCAGTGCCATGGACTCTGATTACAGACACTCTCATCAGAGTTCCTGCAGGGGACGGGGGCACATTTAAAACCATGCACACAGGCTTCCCTGGTGGCACAGTGGTTGAGAGTCTACCTGCCAACGCAGGGAACATGGGTTCATGCCCTGGTCTGGGAAGATCCCAAGTGCCGCGGAGCATCTGGGCCCGTGAGCCATGGCCACTGAACCTGCGCATCCAGAGCCTGTGCTCCGCAACGGGAGAGGCCACAGCAGTGAGAGGCCCACGTACCGCAGAAAAGAAAAACAAAACATGCACACGAGGATGGAGGACTGAGTTCTGGAGCATAGGCACTTCTGCGGAGAAAAGAGGGGGTGAGGGCTTGGACTTAGTTGTACAGTTCTAGTTCTCTAAAGCGACGGGCAGGGGTTTTAAAGCCAATGTGGCAAATAGGAGGGGTGTCCATGGTTGGCAAAATACTCTGTGTGGGTGTGTGCACGCATATTTCATAATTTTAAATTTTTAAAAAGAACAAAAGCACTTGAGGATATAAGCACAACATACTTCAGAAACATATGACAGCAGTAGGACTCTCCTAGACCTTCTGTTCATTCTTAGGCATTGGAATAATTTTGGCCTCAGTCTGCTCCCCAAATCAGCTCCCCAAATCAGCTCCCCTGAGGTACCTTCCTCCCCTCCTCTTCCCTAGCCAACCCTGGGCCCCTGCTCCTTCTTCCCTCCTGCCTGTGGCTGGCCTGCACCCCTTTCTTCCTGGGGCCCAATCATCTCTGCTTCCAAGACCAAGCCTGGCCCAGCCAGCCCCCAAATTCTCCCCCATCCTGCACATTCTTACCTTCTTCCCAGTGGCCCTCAGGCTGCTTAGGGCTGCCAGCCACAGAGTCCACATTGAAATTAACAAAAGGAATGCCTACAGAATCCTCACACATTCCTTCAATCTCATAGGAAGGAGGGTGTGGCCAAGAAGATCCTGAACTCCTTTCCTCCCAGGGTCACACCAAAATTACAACTATTTACAGAGCAACTACTGATGAGAAAGGTCTGAAGACTAGCAGAAAGGATCTTCTACAACTAAAGATATAAAGAAGGAACCACAACGAGACAGGTAGGAGGGACGGGAGACATGGTTAAGATCCCTACACCCCAGGTGGGCAACTCACTAATGAGAGGATAATTATGACTGCAGATGTCTTCCCCAATGAGTCAGGCGTATGAACCCCACATTGGGCTCCCCAGCTGGATGTTCTACACCAAGAAGATGAGCCCCCCCAGAACTTCTGTGTTTTTATAATGGCTAAAATCAAACTTATTTATTTTTTTCTTTAGTTTTTATTGAAATATAGTTGATTTGTATGTATATACTTTCTTAGATTATTTTCCATTAGCAGTTATTACATGATATTGAGTATAGTTCCCTGGGCTATACAGTAGGTCCTTGTTGGCTATCTATTTTACATATAGTAGTGTATATATTTTAATCCCAAACTCCCCTTTGGGATTGATCCCTCCCCCAACCTTGCCCCTTTGGTAACCATAAGCTTGTTTTCTATGTCTGTCAGTCTGTTCCTGCTTTGTAAATAAGTTCATTTGTATCTTTTTCTTAGAATCCACATATAAAAGCAATATCATATGATATTTGTCTTTGATACTAACTTCACTTAGTATGTTAATTTCTAGGTCCATCCATGTTGCTGCAAATGACATTATTATTATTATTTTTTTTTTTTACAGCTGAGTAAGATTCTATTGGTATATTCCATGTAGTATATTCCATATACCACATCTTCTTTATCCATTCATCTGTCAACGGACACTTAGGATGCTTCCATGTCTTGGTTATTGTAATAAATAGTGCTGCTATGAACACTGGGGTACATGTATCTTTCCGAATTACAGTTTTCTCTGGACATATGCCCAGAAGTGGGATTGCTGGATCATATGTTAGCTCTATTTTTAAGGAACCTCCATACTGTTTTCCATAGTGGCTGCACCAATTTACACACCCAACAGTGGTGTAGGAGGGTTCCTTTTTCCCCACAACCTCTTCAGCATTTATTATTTGTAGACTTTTTCATGATGGCTATTCTGACCCATGTGAAGTGATACTATAGTTTTGATTTGCATTTCTCTAATAATTAGTGATACTGAGCATCTTTTCATGTGCCTGTTGGCCATCTGTACGTCTTCTCTGGAGAAATGTCTATTTAGATCTTCTGCCCATTTTTTTGATTGGGTTGTTTTTCTTTTTTTATATTGAGCTGCATGAGCTGTTTGTATATTATGGAAACTAATCCCTTGTGGGTCACATCGTTTGCAAATATTTTCTCCCATTCCTTAAGTGGGCTTTTTGCATTGTTTATGGTTTCCTTTCCTGTGCAAAAGCTTTTAAGTTAAGTTAGGTTCCATTTGTTTATTTTTGTTTGTATTTTCATTACTCTAGGAGACAGATCCAAAACGATATTGCTGCGATTTATGTCAAAGAGTGTTCTGCCTATGTTTCCCTATAGGAGTTTTACAGTATCCGATCTTACATTTAGGTCTTTAATCCATTTTTAGTTTATTTTTGTATACGGTGTTAGAGAATGTTCTAATTTCATTCTTTCACATGTAGCTGTCCAGTTTTACTGTGCTGTCCAGTTTTCCCAGCACCACTTTTGGAAGAGACTTCTTTTCTTGCTTCCTTTGTTGTAGATTATTGGCCGCAAGTGCATGGTCAATGCACTTTATTTCTGGGCTCTCTATCCTGCAGAACATTTGGCTTTAAGGCCAGTAGGGCTACTTCTGGGAGAGCCAGAGGTCTGTGGAGAATAGAAAATCCAGTCCTAAAAGGTGCATATAAAATTTCACATGCTCCAAGTCCAAGGGCAGAAGAAGTAATCTGAAAGAAGCCTGGGTCAAACCCACTTGTTGATCTTAGAGAGCCTCCCAGAGAGGCAAGAGGCAACTGAAACTCAGCCTAAGAACTTAGATACTGGCAGCAGTCACTAATGAGAGCACATCCCACTAAGAGAACACTGGTGCTGGTAATCACCATTGTGGAATTCTCTGTCTAGATTATTAGTGCAGTGACCTGCCCTTGTCCACTTGCGAGTCTGCCTCAGTCCCAGGAAGCCCCAGTCCAGGCAATTAGCTGGGCAGGGATACTGCCCCACTCACCAGCAGGCCTGCTGCCGAAGGACACCCTGCGTACCCAGTAGCTCCAGGACTGGCCCTACCCACCAATAGGCCAGTAAAGCCCCAGGACCTCCAGGACCCTGACACTAGCCATCAGATCCAGGCCCACACACCAGAAGGCCTACATTAGCCCTAAATCCAGCCTCACCAACCACAGGTAGGCCCCAGCACTGGTCCCAACCACCCTCAGGTTGACACCCACTCCTGAAACCCAGGGCACTGCAGCCAGAGACCCTGGGACCCAGTTCTGCCCATCAGAGGGTAATCACTAGCCCTGAGGCCCCTCCTCAGCCCTGCCACTGCCCACCAGCCAGCTAACATCTACAACAGAAACTCAGGACCTTGAAGCCAGACACAGAGCCACCCACCAGTGAGTCACCCCTAGGCCTGGGACTGTCCTCACCCATCACTGGTGCAAAGTAGCCCTGGGAAAACCATGGCACTGCAGCCAGTTGTGTCGGGGTCTGGTGCACTCACCAGTGGGCTATCACTAGCTCTGGGTCAGCCCGGAGCCCACGGCCACACAAGTCAGGAGTTGGCCCTGCCCACCAGTGGGCGTACACCAGGCCCAGATACCCCTAAGCCATGGCCCCACCCATCAACAGGCTGATCCAACTCTGGGAGCCCTGAACCTACTGCTGGCCACCCCAAGACGAAGCTTTGCCCACCACTAGACCAGCATTAGCCCAAGGACCCCCTTTCCCAGGGCTCTGTAGCCAATCCTTTCATGACACAGCCCTGCCCACCTACAGGGGGCAGCCTATGCCCAAGGCAGGGCCTGGCAACCAACCTGACACAGGTGCAGCTACACCAACCACCACGCCTACAGTAGTCAGCCTGCCACAACAGACAGACCCACGCAGTTCACACAGAGGGCACCACTAAAGCTTATTGCTTGGGTGACCAGAGGGGAGTGCGCTGATGGGCCCCATAGGACATTTGCTCATAAGGCCACTTCTCCAAGACTGAAAACAAAACCAACCTACCAAACATATAGAAATAAAAATGGTGAATTAGGCAAAATGAGGCACCAGAGAAATATGTTCCAAATGAAGGAATAAGATAAAACCCCAAAAGAAGAACTAAGTGAAGTGGAGATAAGCAATCTACATAATAAAGAGTTTAAGGTTATGGTCATAAAGATGGTCAAAAAGTCAGAAGAAGAATGGATGAAGAGAGTGAGAAGTTAGAAGTTTTCCTTCTTACTGGAAAACCTTACTCTTTGGGGGAAGTAATTCTGAACAGGAAGGGGGTGAGGGATTACTTTTTTAAAAAAAAAAAAAATTGATTCGGCCTCCAGAGGAAAAGATTGCCTAAACCAGATGCTGATGAAGTCACAGAATGACTCCACCTCTGGAATGAGCTTCATTTTCATGTATTTTGGTAAGAAATTTGGCTCTCAGTTGAGAATTCAGTCACTCTACCTGTCCAAGGGCAAGACGATAAGGTTCTATCAGACCAAGTGTCTAAACAAAACTGAGACTCTACCAAGGTCAGAAATGCTGCACTTCAAGCCAAAAGATCTCTCTTGGGCTTGATTGTTTTGACTTGTAACTACAAATTTGTCTTGTCTAAATGTCCAATCATATTATAAAACAAATCACCCATCTCTACAGTACAGCTTCCTCTGAAGCAACAGGAGTCCTAGATGTACCTTTGGGGATTCTCTAATTTTTCTGCCACTCTGATTTCCACAGGACTTTAAATTGCTTCCCCTGAGATCAAGCAACACAAGATGGTTTTGGAAGTGCTGAACTCAGTGCATTATAACATCACCAGCATGGTGACCGAAGTTGCGCCTGTTGCCAGCATTGCAATCCTGCTGCTCACTGGCTTTCTTCTCTTGGTTTGGAATTATAAAAACAAATCCTCAATACCAGGTAACACAGTCATTTAGTTCTGTATCTAAGGAGAGTGTTTCCTTGGGCTTTTCGTCCATGAGGGTAAAGGAAATTTGCAAAACAGCGAAGAGTAAACCTGAGGAGATGGCTGAAGCCCAAGGCATATTAGCAAATGAATTCACGTGAACATTTTTCTACCAATTATCTGCATATGTTAAATGAAAGCATTAAAAAAATCTTAGATAATCCCTTCCAGTCTGCATTTTGTTTCGGTAAAAGAGACTTGGCAGAAGTATCCTTTAAAGTAAATTTAAGATGGGGTGGAACAAGGTAAAATTCCAGGTTTGGGATTTTTTTTCATTTAAATTCATTCCAATTTTGGTCTAAAGGTGAAAATGTCTCTGGAATGCTTTCTGTACTCCTTTCTGTCTCCCTCCCACTTTACCTCATCCATGTCCTCTGCCCTCTCCGTTTCTTGAACCTATTCCTTCTCTTTATCCCATTCTTTATTTTCTTTTATTTTTGGGCATGGTGGTGATGTTGGTGCCACCACAAGGGGTGGATGGGACCTGGACAGTGGATGAAAAATGGGGATCACTATAGTTCCCTTGAAAACCTAAAAAAAAATCTTCCACAAGCTCTGTGGATCAATCAAAAGTAGAGTATAATATAATTATCCAGATAATTCCAGTAGAAACAACACCACTCTACACTATCAGATTAACTCAGAATTCCCAGAAATATCAGATGGCTTTGTAGTTTCTTGGAAAATTCCTCAGGGCAGGCATGTGTCCCCAGTCCCATAAAAAATTCTGTAAGTCAATCATCTAAATAAAATGTTATTAGAACAATCCTAAGATTAAGACCCCTTGACCCCAAGACTCCCAAACTTGTTTTGGTTATATAGACATCAACAAAGACTTTCCACTAAGGGCAAAAAGAATACCCTGATAATCTTTTCCACATTAACCCAGCTACTTCAAAGTTAAGGAATAAACCTTGTTTGCCAGATTTGGGCTTAGACATCCAATTTAAATGATTCACCCCAAAACTTAGATTATCTAAATTATCAGCACTGTACTGTCTCAGATAGTTGTGTGAGTTTTGGCTGAACGACTATTTCACTGACAGAATGGAATTAAAGGAGTAAAATACAGAAATGGTATAACTTTACAATAAAACTCGTAAAACCATTCCGACAAGCTTTTGACGAACTTTTCACCACCACCACTAAAATCAAGCTACCAAGTTTGTGCTCTGATACAAGCAACAGCAACTCCCCTGGCTGCTCACCAGATTCACACTCCTCACAATTCTGTCATCGCCTACGTCAGCAAGGGTGTAAGGGCCACGGCTCTTCACTAAAACCACATCACTGGACTCAGACTCTGGTCTAGACACAGATCAGACACACTGCCTCATTCCTCAATGCTTAGCTTTATTTTGTCTAGTGAGATTTAGCTTAAGATTCTCTTCTTAAACCAAATCCTTTTTGAAGGAAATAAAAAAGGAATGCATGCTTTTTGTTGGAATATTGTCTTTGCAGACCGTGTTTCTCACAGTTAAAAAGATGACACCAGGGGCTTCCTTGGTAGTGCAGTGGTTGAGAGTCCGCCTGCCGATGCAGGGGACACGGGTTCGTGCCCCGGTCTGGGAAGATCCCACATGCTGCAGAGTGGCTAGGCCCGTGAGCCACGGCCGCTGAGCCCGCGTGTCTGGAGCCTGTGCTCCGCAACAGGAGAGGCCACACAGTGAGAGGCCCGCGTACTGCAAAAAAAAAGATGACACCCAAACCACAGACTAATTCAAACCAACCCATTCCAGTGACTGGTGCTTTCAAACCCCAAGTTTTCAGACAAAACTAGGCAGCCAGACAGACCTGTCAGCTTGTCACTTGTCCTGGTTTTCGTGCCTGTTACGAGAGGGACTGATTGACTTGTATTTGAAACTCATTGACACCATTTAACACAGCAAGAATAGAGTAGACACCTATTTCAGTCCGTTCAGACTGAGATGCTTGAGACCAAATGGAACTGGAGTGGTGTAGACTCTGGACTACTTTTTACTCATGGAGCTGTGAAGAGCATCATGTTAACTTGTGTTGTTGTTTTAATCATTTTGTGTGTGTGATGCACCTATATACATCAGAAGACATAAAAGGACATCCAGATCAAAAGAACAAGAATAGCAGTTAATTTAAAGCAATTGCTCTTTTTGGTGTTGCAGAAATACTGACTGTGATCTGATGACTTTCCTAGGTCCTGGCTACTTTCTGGGAGTTGGACCCCTCATTTCCTACTGTAGGTTCCTCTGGATGGGGAATGGCAGTGCCTGCAATTACTACAACAAGACGTACGGTGAATTCGTGAGAGTCTGGATATATGGAGAGGAAACCCTCATTATTAGCAAGTAAGTCTGTTAATAATTGGGGACATATTTAAAAACCAAGGCTTGGATTTTCATATTAAAAACCAAACAAACTTATTTCAATATCTTGATGTCTGTTGCTAAAGATGTGTTTTTACTGCTTTTTAAATGAAGGATGATGCCTGCAGCTCAGGATCTAGGACAGTGCTTCTCACCCTGGCTGCATATTAAACTAACCCAAGGAGCTGTTCAAAACCCCACTGCCCAGGCCACAAACCCAACTTTTATAGTCTCCTGGGAAGGAGGGACCTGGGCATCAGTAGTGTTTAGAGGCCCCCAAATGACTGCAACGTGCTACAGAGCTTGAGGAGGAAAAAAGGTAAGAAGCTTCCAGGGTAGAGGGCCTTTCCCTGGGGAAACACCTAAGCAGGTTGGAGGGGTTCTGTCTAATTTTCTTACCCTTAAGTGTAGTTCAGGTGCTGGGAGTGCAAGACTAGACATGGAGGGACGAATGAAGCACGTGAGAAAGGACCAGAGGACCAGGACAGAAATTGCTCTTAGACACTAGGTACTTAGATCACCAGATAAATTCCCAGGAACTCTGACCAGCTGCTGAAATAGGATCCTCGTTACAGTGCAGGTAGCATCTGGCAACTGCTGTCTTAATTAGGAAAGTGACCTTAGCGACCCTGACAGGGTCAGGTGCTGATTCACGCTGAGAACATTACAAAACTCACTCTGCCCTTCCCCCAGCTTTCCCAGTTCTGTCCCTTTCCTGTCCTCACAGGCTTTTCTCTGGTTGGAGTCTCTGTGTTCTCCTTAATTGCCTCCCAGCCGCTCAATTTTATTAAGGGATGAGCTCCCCGCAGGAACAGGACATGTCTGTCCCCATTTCCTTCCCTTGCCTGCTCTTCAGGTCCTTCCAGAACTACCCATACCTCTTAAAAAGACCCCACTGGACATCAGAAAGCTCTTTCTTTGAATAATATTGTCTCTTCTGAAATTTTTGATGTCTGTAGTTATTACACCTGTGTAGAGATTATGGGCCAACTTTTCCAAGCAGCTTAGTTCTGAAGTGGGGGGCTGCAGAACTTTGGATCACGATGGGGTGGGGAGTCAGGCACCAGTGCTGCCACAATTCTGCCTGAGCAACTGGGGGCTATGGGGAGAGATCCATCTGATCACCTGTAGATAAAGTATGCATGATTCCCCAGGCAGAGATGCACTAAATTATTGAGGGTCTACAGAAGTTATGCGTGACACTATATGTCATGTGTATATGTTAGTGTTTGTCATGAATATCAAAAATAGAATGTGAATAGCATCCATAAAGAGGAACTGGCATTTAACATGATAATTAGGATGATATTTGGCCATATGTTAGCAATTAACATAACAAGGTTACAGAATCTGTATACCTGTTTTGTCATTTCCGAATTTATAGGAAATTCATTCTTTTATTCTGTAAACGTACATTTATTAGAATTTACTCTATACTAAGCACTGGATGACCCTAAACTATCATAGAAATTATTGGCTCTCCATTCATTAAATAAATATTTATTGAGAACTTATTATGTACAACAGGTTATCATGAACAAATCACTCCCAAATCCCTACCCTTGTAGAGGAATATATTGTTGCAGTATTAATATACCAACAATAAAAGGCTAAAACATAGTATTATCAGTAGGGTGAACAACTGTCTTGGTTTACTTGGAACCAGAGGATTTCCCACGTTGTGGGATTTTTAAGCTGGGGAAACCAGGATGGTTGTCCACACCATTATCAGGTAGATATGGGCTACAGAGAAGATGAGGTGGGTGGAGCAACTTCGGGATGGGGAGAAATCAGGATTCAGATATTTTGACTTGACTTGCCTAGTACCGCTGAATAGGATATTAAGAAGGAAGTTCTAACCATTCAGACCTTCGACTGTAGTCAGAAACTAGCAAAGGAAGCTGAGAAGGACAACCACACAGAGAAGGGAAAACCAGGAGAGTGTGGTGGTCTGAAAGCCAGGCGAGGATGCATGTCAGGGAGGATGGAATTGTCAACTCTCCAGATAGTGCCACATGACTGGACGGAGATGTGAGCATTGCATTTAGCACCAGGGAGGTCATGGGTGAACTTGACAAGGGCAGTTTCAATGGAGTGTTGGGGGCAAAAGTCTGACCACTGTAGAGAATGGGGAGAGAAGAATTGGAGGCAGCAGGTATAGACACTCTTTCCAGGAGTTTGCCACAAAGGAGGCAGAGAAATGGAACAGAGCTGAAAGGGATGTTTGGTCCAAGGAGCTTTTATTTGTTAAGATACAAGATATTATGACATGTGTGTTTTGATGGGAATGATGAGTTACAGAGGAAAGTGCTGATGCAGCACACAAAAGGAGTGTGCCAGGTGAGATGACAAGGGGGTCCAGGTAACAAGTGGACGTGGCCTTGAAAAGGGACACGCAAGTTCATCCACAGTAACAGGAGGGAAGGTTGAATATATGGGCACTGGTCCTGGTGGTGGACTTGCAGAGGTTCCAGTTGCTTCTGTTTTCTCAGTAAAATAGGAAATGAAGTCTGTACTTGAAATAAAGGTGAGAAGTACAACACTGGGGGACAGAGGAGACAGGATATAACAGTCATCCAGGAAAGCAGGGAGTGACTGGACTTGGGAAATATAGTAGAATTGCCAGCTGCACTAAGGGCTCACTTGAAATTTAACTGAGACCTGCCTGTGTGTGTGTGTGTGTGTGTGTGTGTGTGTGTGTGTCCATGTGCATGTATGGTTTTTTCCCCAGCCCCATTCAGTTGCCAGGTGCAAGCACAGAGTAAGCTAAACTGAGAGCTGGATTTACCCAGGGTTGAGGTTTTACCAGGCAATTAGGACAAAGTAAGCAGAGGGTCAAGGGACTTGAGGATGCATGGAAGGGAGAGACTCTAAAGATCGACAAGAAAATATTTTTCCAACTTTCTAGTAAGAAAAGTTCAAATGAACAGGAAAGTTAGAAGAGCAGTCCTCCCCCCTTTTTCCCCATGACCTTGACCTTCTGAAGAGACCACATCAGTTGTCTTACAGGATGTCCCACATTCCAAATCTCTCTTTACTGTTTCTTACGGTGTCATTGAACATATTCTTCTATTCCCGGTATTGCTTATAAACTGAACACTAGGTCTATAGGCTCTATTCGATTCAGGTTAATTGTTGTGTAATAATACGTTCCTGTTAGTCCTAGGCACTTCACATTGCATCACATCAAGAGACCAGGGAAGGTGTTCCCATATTAGAGATACTAAATTTGGTCAGCTTAGAGTGGTTACAGTCAGATCTCTTTGTTACAAAGATTCTTTTTCTCTTGCAGTGACCTCAGTATCAAACCTGGGTAAGGATATTAGAGGGCAAAGGACAGGGAAAATGTGGTAAGATTGATGGAGTATAAGTCACAGGCACAGAACAGGTCTACACAAGGCACATGTTTTTAAATGTTTGGTACCAAATATTCCATTGATTGTCTCCCTTGTATTCCTAGTACTCATCAATCTTGAACCTGACCACAGGTGTGTGAGTTCTTTAAACTCAGAACGGGATGGTGGCTTTTTCTTTACCACCTAAAGACTTACTTCCTGGCTACTTCTCATTTTGAAGAGACGTTAGGTTTGCCATCTTTGGGGATTTCTTTTGACTTCAGTCACATTTCAAGAAGAATAATGACCCCAGGGATCAGGCATCTTACACTACCCACTGTCCAGTCTGAGCTTGGGGACTCACACTGTCTCTCCTCAGTGGTAAGAAGTCCTCACTCTCCCAGATAGCCAGTCAGTGAGTCAGTCAGTCAATCAAAGTAACATCTCCCTCACCTGGTGTTACAGGCCAGTCCACACTGTGGGAAGGAGATCTCTAGTGTTCTCCTCAATATCAGGGGAGCTCTGGGCTGGCATCCCTAGTTCATCACCAACCTTCCCTTCTTCACTTTCCTGATTTACTCCAGTTAGATAAAGCCTACTTTTGATAAGTGACCTTATTTTAAACTGCTCATCCTTGGTGACACTTTGCTTGCTGTGTGTATCACTTCTGTCTTCCCTACTTTGTTCTTTGCCAAATCAGAGCCTCTATCTCAGGATAACTGAGATGTTGGCGCCCCCTAAAGGACAATTGACTTAATCGTTCGCTCTTTATTAACTAACATTTAATTGGGTTGAAGTTTTTAATTGACCAGTAATTCCTCAAAACATATGGACAGACCAATGTGTTTTATGATATACTCAAAAGTTCTAAAGGTCAGAGCAGAAAAACAGTATTCTGTTTGTCAACTAATCACTTAAAATTTGTAGATTTGAGTTTGTGAGTAAAGAGTATACAAATTACTTACTTGCTGCTTTGATTATAGTGATTTAGGGGATGGTACGAATAGCCAGAGTTCTGAAGTCTATTAATTAATAAGAATTTCAGTCCTTTCTATAGCATGGTGTCATATACAGGACAAAATTTTATCTATGTATCAGTCAAATTAATTCCCTGGAATACAAATTGAAGTATCTGGATTTGCATATTGAAAATACAATAGAAGAAATAAATCCACCCCACCTTTTATCCTGAAGAGACTAACTATCCATTTATCCTTTATGCCCTCAAATATTAAATTATTTAAATGATCAATTTATACTTCCAATGCCATAGCCTAATTTATAATCAATCTTAATAAAACATCTTCTCAACAAAGTGAGTCTCTCTGCAGAAGAATTCTGTACCACTGTCCTAAGAAGACAATATTCTCCTCACACATGGAGGCCCCATGACGTCTTCAGCTAGGATTTTACAACATGTTATAATGCTCATTGCCTTATCGTGCCCCAATTAGAGTAGGATTTGGGGCAGGAAGCAAGTCCTGAAGGAGGACATGGGTGGGGAGGGACTGCCTGCTCCTTCCCAGTTGCTCTGAAGACCTAGCTCAGGCCTTAAGAGCCAGGCCTGGGGGTGGGAATAGAGGGCAGAGCAGTGGAAGAGGAACCAGGAAGTTCAAGGAAGCCTGGGTTCCTGGCAAGGTCCCAGGGTTGCCACAGTAAGGGCTATCTAATGGCTCAGCGTGTCCTATGTCCTGGGAGAACTCTGTGACCCTGGAGACCTTGATGAATCATGATGGATGCAGAGCCCCAAGACAGCTGCTGTCACCACGACAGAGAGGCTTCCAGGCCATCCCAGCCAGCCAAGTCCAGGGCCAGAGGTACCCAGGAGATGTCCTTCAGTCCTAGAATGATACTGCCCTGGAGGGGCCGGGCCTGATTAGAGCCTCTGGGGGACGGGTGGTACAAGGCAGAACTGCTGCTTCCAAACTAAAGAGATAAGACTTCAGGTATTCCAGCAACTTCCGATTATGAGGCTCACTTCTGCGTGGGGAGCACTGTCTGGAGAGGGACTGCTTGGAGGCTGGAGGCTCTCAGGAATATGGTGGTGTGGAGGGTTCAGTTTCTTACAGCCTTGTAGCTCTGACAACAGTAGTGGGGAGTATTTTAGTGACTTGGAGTTAGATAAAGGGAAATAACGAATAACTCTGTGTGTGTGTGTGTGTGTGTGTGTGTGTGCGTGCGTGTGTTTATCTTTAGTGATGCTCAAACAGAGAGCTAGCAGGTAGAAATGTTTCAACTGGAGAAGGAAGTTCTTGTGCTAACACAAGTGCTTATTTAATCTGAATACTAGAAATTATGCATTGCATTTAGATCAACAGGCATTTGGTATGAGAGCCGCCTGGTAGGCAAACTCATCACACTGAGTTCTCCTGACCCTCAACAAGTAACCCCAAGGTTTGCTTTCTCTGCAGGTCCTCAAGCGTGTTCCATGTAATGAAGCACAATCACTACACATCCCGATTTGGCAGCAAACTTGGGTTGCAGTGCATTGGCATGCATGAGAAAGGCATCATATTTAATAATAATCCAGTCCTCTGGAAAGCTGTTAGAACTTACTTTATGAAAGGTATTCAGATGTCTGGCTACATTCTGCTCTTTTGTCTATGAATATGCCTTCTTGAAATCATTTTTAACTTCTGCTGCTTCACAGTTTTGAAATAGTAAGAGCTAACATTCATTATACATGTACTATGTAGTAGGCACTGTTTAAACCCTTGATAACTTTAATCCCACAGCAACCCCATGTGTTAGATACCCTTATCACCTCCATTTTACAACTGAGAAAACTGAGGCATAAAGAGTTTAAATAGCTTGCCCAAGTTTCCAACAGCAAATGGTAGCACAGGATACAATTCCAGAGCCTACATATTCACCCAACACAAACCCTGTCCTTCTTGTTGACCCACAATTTCATGAATGTGAAGGAGAATTGGCACCCTATATACTTAAGATCACTTCAGTTAAGAACTTAGTATGTCGGGCTTCCCTGGTGGCGCAGTGCTTGAGAGTCCGCCTGCCGATGCAGGAGACGCGGG